TCTTTTTCTCTTGATGAAAGAACTGATGATTATTTTTTATATTGTGTAGTAATTAAATAATTCTCGTAATAAGAATGGAAATTAATAAAATATAGATAGCATATCTTCTTAATGTTTCTCACAATAATTATTAACAAATAACTATATATGAAAAAAGTCCAGATATTGAATAAATATAAAATAACAAATATATGCAAAAGCGATACATATACTCGTATTCATGTATGTATATGTATCGCGCTTTTGCGTATATTTATTCAACATCTGAATTTTTTTTCATGTATAGTTATTTGTTAATATTTATTACGATATATATATTTTTTTTTCATGTGTTGAACAAGCAAATAAGAATAAGAAGAAAAAATTTCTTCTTATTCTTTAAAAAAAATTATAAAAATAAATTTTTTAATTGTGTAATTATTACTATGCTTTTGTAATAATATTATTCCTTAATTAATTAATCTTTTTAATCTGAATTTATTTACGGCTTTTAGCGGATCAATTAAAATATACTGTATCGAATCATATCTAACTGTTGTCATAATTGGAAATTTGCTGCTGATGTATTTCGTGCTTTAAACAACAATACTTACCCGAGGTAATCCCTGGACGAGATAGACTCCCATGACATGGCTGTGCGTCTTTCTTGGTGCCGCTTCTTCTCTCCGTCTCGCGGTGCAGCTGTTTCTTCTCTCTTCCTCTTGGCGCTCTAATCCCATCTCTCGCCGCCAGCATTATCACGTTCGCGCACCCGCGTGAGATAGAGCATATCACTTCCTTGGTTTGCGAATTTTTGCACAACGCGTTATCACGCACGATTCAACCGCCGACTTGAGGCCCTAATCGTCCGCATTCAATCGATCCCGAAGACAGGTGACTCGGCGTGTGTAACGATTACTATCGAGTCCTATCTATCGCCCGACGAGCTCGGGGATTTCGCCAACAACGATCGGGATTTCGTGCGATTCAAAACACACAAGGGCTGCGCGTCTGCTTACATCAATCATCTTACAAATTCATTCGACGTGTCTCATGCTTAACGGCGTCGAAACTCGTTATCGATAGCGCGAACAACGGAATTTTAAGCACCCGCCGAAAAGTCTCTCGAGTTCGACTAGAGAGAAGACTAGACTTTAAATAATTTGTGCGGCGGATCGTGTAAAGGGGGTACGCTTGCTCCGAGTTTGCGAAGTGATAGCAATCGAGGGTCGATGGAAGATTTTAAGTTCTAGAACTTTCAGTTGGACGAGATTCGCAATATGTGATTGTTCTTCAAGGATTCCTTGCCGTGGGATATACGTTCGAGGGAAGTGAGGGCTGAGCCGATAGTCGTTGAGGTAGATCGAGGATCGTCTAAGTTTCCTCACCCAGGGATTTTTTTTGTTTGGTTTTTTGGACAGACTCGATGCGGCTTATTTACTAACGTATAGGGATGCACACCTCGGTCGAGAAAAATAATTTGCACGCCCGCGTGTCTTTGTACTTATATGCCTAATTGAGCACCGTGGACTCGCGCGAGTACTTGCGCGCATTGACGAGGAAATAGGGAGAGAGTCCCGTGAGAGAGTTCCTCTCCTTCTTCTTCCGTTAACGTAATTGGCAAATGTTTCGTGGCAGTTTCTTCGATCGGCTTCGATCGTTAAGGATTGTTTCAGGTATTCGACTCACGCATTCGTTACGCACATGTAACCACATGTACGACCGCTTGAGTCTCACGGTACAAGTGTTTAAGTATCTCCTTCCTCTCTCGCTCTTTCACCCTGTTCGCCGCCCTCGTGAGTGCGTAACTGCGTTCGTAAGGAGAGCGAGTGACGTTTTTTCTTCGCTTCTCGCACGTTTCCTCGCACGCGCTTCTCGGTTGTATGACTCTTATAATTCTCTAGGAGCTCCTTCTCTTTCTCGAGTATTATTTTTTCCAACGTGTACAGTACAGTTCCCGTGCGGTCGAATTATCGATATTTGATTATCGAGAATCGCGTAACGTGATATACTATATGTAATTTGTCAACGTCGTTATTTAGATCTCTATGAAAAGATTTAACACACGTATATTTATATATATATATATATGTATATATACATATATTTATCTAAGATGTATTTAAATAAACTTTTAACATGTATACATACATGTATCTAATATAGATCCGCGCGGTGTACCGCGTTTGTGTGCGTGTCTGTGTGTACCCGTATGTACATGCGTGTATACGCACTTGTTTTTTTTATCGAACGCATTAATGTTTCACTGTACTAGGTACAGTAATCGGTCGCCTTCTAAATTATTCCGGCGTGTCGGACGGTGCTGAACGTGCGTTTAGTCTTAAAATACGTCTTAATCTTCTCGCCGCTTTAAGAGTAACGGCAGGGATGGAAAGATTCCGTACGATTGCGATATATCACTCACATTTATTTAACATCTACGTAAATCGATGAAGTAATGACGATTAGTCGACGGCGAGAACGTGTCCCAAGAACGATCGTTTTTTTCCCCCCCTTTAATCTTCTCTCCTTCGTAAAACTTTCCGACTCTCAGTTTTGACGCGTGTTCAGCACCGAGAAGGTTAAGGGACGCGCTGTCCCCGAAACTAGGATCGCGTCGGCCTGCGGTGTCCCAGTTACCGTCGGTGACCCCCGGCGCGCTTTTTCTCCCCCTCCCAAAACCGCCCCTCTACTGTGGAGCGCTTTAACTTCGCGAGAGCTCGCGCAAGTGAGATACGCGGATTCCCGTTCGCGAGATTCCGGGCGGATCCATCGAGCGTTCTCCTGATTCCATAAACCGCTGCCGCAAGTTCTTTCCTTACGTTTTATCTCGAAAGATTTAACCCCCACGTGTGCACGAGAGAAGATTTCTCTGTCGCTACGTATCTTTCTATATATCGTTTACACCGGAGTACTATAATAGCAACAACAGCAGCAGGTTGCGCGTGTCGTTTAGCCCCTTAGAATCCCTTTCCGCGTCGTTCCCAAGGACGCGCGTATATCCGTCGCGCGGAATTCTCTCGCCGGAGTCTCTCGCGATTTAGATCGGCGACGAGCGGAGTCCCGTCCGAGGTAGTCGCGGCGACACGTCCGACAGCGACAGGCAGTCAGCGTTCGTATCCGGCGCCCATCGCGCGCCGAGCGCTCGCGTACGTTCGTGATGGGCCAAACAGCGGCGCGTAGTGACGATGGCAACGCGGCCGTTCCCGCTCGCTGACGATGAGACAGTAGCCGTGGTGGGCGCCCCGAGGCGTCTCCTCATGCCGTCGCTGATTGATCCCCCGTTCGTCTCGGTTTCAGGCCGTCGCGTTCCGGCCTTGTCCCCCTTCCGCCGTCTGTGCCACCATCGCCACCGTCCTCCTTGCTCGCCGTCCCCGGCGCCTCCGCCACCGCCGCTCCGTCTTCGGCCACCGCTCCGCCGCGCGCCGCGCGCGCGGAAAACCGCCCCGCGGCCGCTCGTTATCGGCAACGAGGACAGCCGAGGCCGCGGAAGGTTACGGGCGCGCGATGCGGATCGAGAGAGAGGAGCCCGCTGCGCGCTCGCACACCCCCTTCCTTCCACTCTCTCTATCTCTTTCTCTCCCTCTCTCTCTCTTTCTTTCTTTCCGTCTCTCCCTCTCTCTCTCTCTCTCTCTCGCTGGCGCGCGTATGGGGTTGGTCCTCTCGCGGAGGGTACGCCGCGCGGCACCCGCGAAAATCCACCGTCGGTGGCCGGAGCAGAACTGTCGCGCCCGAGCCGCAGCAGCCCGCAACACACGACCTAACCGATCCTACCCCACGAACCCCCGCCGCGAGCTTTCTCTCTCCTCGCCCGTGTTCCACCTCTGTTCCGCCACCATTCTCTACCCTTCATTCGGCCTCTGTCTCACTCTTTCCTCTCCTTCGCGCTTACTCCCCTCTCCCTTCTCTGTTCCCTCTCTGTCCCGCTCGTCGCTCGGCGCCGTGCCGCTGCGCGTCCCGCAACCTTCGCCTCTATTCTTCTCTCCCGCGTTTCCAACCCCATTTCTCCCTCGTTTTCTCATCCCTCGCGTCCTCCACCGCAAACCCCTCCGGTCCTCTCTATATCGCAAGCAACCCGCCCTCCGATGAAAGTTTCTCCCCCCCTCTTCCCCCTTTTCCTTTCGCTCCCGCTCTCTCACCCTACTTCGTCCATCAGCTTTGCCCGACTCTTGATCTCTGTCCGTCTTTCCATCGTTATCCCTGTGCGCTTTCAACCTTACGTCAGGCGTTGTGGATAGCCAAGTTTCATCTCGTTACCGAAACTTACAGCGATCACAGCAAACTCTTTAAACGTCATTCGATGTGTCGACACACGTATTCACTGTTGGCTAAACAAAATTGAAATTTGCGGCCGATGGATATGCGATAATTCTGGGATCGCTGGGTCTGCAAACATTTTTTTATTATAATAATGGAAATTAATATTATTTTACTATTATTACTTTTAAAGTGCAAAATTCTATGCTATATTCAGCTGATCAAATTTTAATTATAAATTTCTGCAGCGCAAAAGTAGATTGAAGTAGATTAGCATATCTTAAAATTGTTTGCCAGCTAACCCTTTGGATTAAAATTCTAGCTGCTCAAGGAACGTTCTTGAAATTAGTTGAAGAAACCAATCTTAGGAAGCTTAATTTATTGTAAGCCTTTAATTAAAAGTACTTACGTGATATAGTTTTGTGTTTATCTTTTGGTACCTGTAGGTCAAGAAAGTACATACAATACATTTTGAAATACATCGCGCCTTGTTTAAACAGAAGAATAAAAAACAGCGTTAAAATACCAAGAATTGCATGATATCAATTATTCGTCATTTTTAATTAAGCATTTTTATTAACGTTGTTTTTTCGTTGTAATGATGAAAAGTTTATTTATCTTCTGCTTGCTATTTTTATATTTTTTTGTTTCATATTCTACACATATTAATTTTATAATAAAAAACCGATATTTGATCCTGTTTCTTTCCCTCAAGAAAAATATCATCTGTAGCCATTTAAACGAAAGTTTTGCGAAATTAATACTAAATTCAAGTCAAACGAATCTGTAATTTGTGATTAATTTCAAATTTTATACTCCTGATTCTCGCATTGAAAAAAATTCTTTCCCTATTACTTTATCCACCCCTCTACGCGTGTTTTATAAATATAGACCGATAGAAGGGGATGATATTCAAGTCTCAAGTTCTTTTCCTAGAAGGGAAGCGCGACCTCGTGGCGATACAAATAAATGTCCTACGTAAGATCGTGTCAAGCCAAGAAAAATCTCTAATTTGTTATTAGACAACCTCTCGCTGCTCGCTTTTATGCAAACTTTGCCCCACGGGATGAAACGTCTTCCGTTTTACGAAATATTGTATAGGCGCTGAGGCACATACGGGAGAGATCTTTTCTCTGTCCCTCAGGGGACGATATCCTGGAGATATCCCCGGTAGGATTAAACGTGCGTTCTCTTCGAGACGTGCGATGCATTTCGAGGGAGAGAGGAGGCTTGAAAGGAAGCTTGGCGACACGCACCCGGCACTCTGGCCGATCAGCTGTCGCCTTTTTCTCAGCCGACAGGACGGGAACATTTCCCTCGGTTTTACGGCTCGAAGGTTGTAAAGCCTAATGGAACGCGGGCACGTTCGGCGATACGAACTATATCGATGTCGAGCATTTAAGTACAAGCGACAGTAAAAGCTCTTTCCGGCTACCGGAAAATAACGCAGCCTCCTTACGCAAACGAGACTAAGACAGATCGTCCCGGTTTGCCACGTTTTGGATAGCTTTTCCGAGAAAACAATTTTCTCGTTACTCATAAATTATGAAGTTGTTCTCTCTGTAAGGATTTCCAATACCTACACTCGTCTACAAGTGAGCGAGTGACGCCAGGAGCGAGGAAATTGCGATGAAATATATGTGAAGAAGGAAATATACGCGTGAATAGCTTTTTGCAGATTGTATCCACACGTTATATTTAAATCCATTTGCAAAATCGCATTGGTCCGCCAAAGTTTATAATATATAAAATGAAATATATTGATTTGATGAAATATATTGCAAACTAACATATTTCGATATTATACAAATAAATAAGAAATTTAATTAGAAATATTCCATTGTTTACACCTCATAGTAAATTTAATGTAAAAAAACAATAAAATTTAGATACGTACGTATTGATAGGATATTTTAAATATTTATAGAAATTTTAGATTATAATGAAAGATTTTAAATAATTGCATAAATAAACAAATTAGTAATATAATAATTTAACACAATAGAACTGCAACATGTGAATATTTCGATTGAAGAATGATTTTAAAAAATTTTAAATTATTTAAAAAAAAAACAGTTTTTACAATAAATGATATATGAAAGGTCTTATAAAGTTGCTGTGCGTGACTTTCAGGAAATAATAGAAAATTTTAATACCAGCATTTGCTTAATGGACGTTTGAATAAAAGTATATGGAATAATCAACGAAGTTAAATTAATGTATAACGTAAAATAATTTTATCTTACGTATATCACAAAAAGAATATAAAGATCTGTGAATCAATTTTGAGATATGTCATCCGGAGAAATAAAGACGGAAGTAACAAAATTGATTATTAATACCAAAAAAGTTCCCTAATCAGAGAAGTGCAACCGATATTACGAGTTCTGATTGGATCGCAAATGACCAATTATGAAATTGACTCATCGATATTAGAAATGGCTGCCGAATGAATAAACCTCGACAATTGTTATACATATATAAGTTAGAATATTTTATTTGCATATAATGATATATTCATGCTCTAGTTACTAGTATATAAAAATATTGTTTATTATCTTTTTTTCTTATCGTTAAGGATATACATGTATATTTCATAATCCGTCTGCAATCCGACTCCATTTTTAATATTTTCTTAATATTTTTCGATACTAATATAAGCCGCCTAATATAAGATCGCGCTTCTCTGATTATTTAGGACTCTAATATCAACTAAAGATAAGCGATACAAAATTATGCTGGAATAAAACTAACAGATTTAATATGTTTCTATTTTAAAAGCGGATGGAGGCGCCTAAACACGTAAAACCCGCACGACGCGTGTGCGTGATGTGATAGATTAAGTTTGTTTTGGATGGAGAAGAGATAGGAGAGGAGAGAGAGAGAGAGAGAGAGAGAGAGAGAGAGAGAGAGAGAGAGAGAGAGAGAGAGAGAGAGAGAAGCGTGTGAATAACGACGTATAGAATCCGAAATTCAAACAAATGGAACTTCAAACGAACAAAAATTTTGTGGTTATCTATTGACAGGCTGTATAATATCCCAATTTTCTGATTATATACTACTTCTATAATATTTTTTTCCCGTATACATAAATAAAGTAATTGGCTAAAATAATTGGTTAAAATAAATTGTGTGTGAATTTATCGCTCCAACATTAAAATTCCATAGTTCTGATTAGAATTTCCGCTTCAATTTGAAGAGACAAAAAGTTCCTTATAGTTTATAAGTATAACACTTACGTAGAACTCGATCAGGACAAGCCAGAATTATCGTGAGTAGTGCCGAAAATTATCAATACACATTTTCATCGAGTGTTGTGTTGGCGGCAAAAGTAAATATTGTTTAAAAAACGTTTAAGGTGAAACAACTTTTTAAAACGATTCACTCGTGTAAAAAAACTCGATCGAAACAAGCTAGAACTGTTACCAGAAGTATCGAAAGTTGTCAGCAGGACTCCTTTCCATTAAGTATCGTGTTGCCATGGGTATTCAGAACTGTGTAAAAATGATTAATTGCTGCAATTTTGTCTTGAAACGCGATATAATTATGAAATTAACTTAGAATTAACGGGAACACCTGATAAATATCGTAATATTTGACAGCATATAGTAGATTAGAGGAAGCCGTGTCGTGCTGGAACGTGAAGTTAGCACGTCATTTTTTATTTATTTTTTATATATTATTATATTAAAAATACAGAACATTTTTTAATGTTTATCAGAAACAGTAGAACTATGGAAAGTGAAACTATTATTGTTTTTTTTAAATTAACAAAATGTCGGTCTAACTTCACAGACACTCAGAATCGTTTCACTTCTCTTTATTAAGTTCTTTTTTTTATTTGTCGTGTAATATTTTACGATTCAATGTCTCTCGGTTTGTTTAATTTTGATGGCGAGCAAGTCGCCTTTTCCTATCCATCATTCTATTTTCTCTGCCCTCGTGGATGTTCATGACCTGTTTATCACTTCTGTTAAGGACATTATTCTGTGTATAAAGACAACTATTTAATGAGTGTCGAGTCAACGTCGCAATTGTCCTGATAGGTGGAGAGAAAGGGGGGGGGGAGAGAGAGAGAGAGAGAGAGGGAGAGAGAGAGAGAGAGAGCGCTTGCGTGATTACGAGCGGATTATTCCTGATGGGAGTCGGGAGAGATCTGTGCGAGAGATCGCATCGACCCGTTGTAACGTCCTTCGACGTTGGAACCATCCGAGGCATCCAGGCAACGCTTCGGCCGATACACGTCGAAGAGAATTCAAGACGGCTGACGAAGTCACATTGGATTACACTGAAACTACGCGCGACGCGCGACGCCGCAGCGCGAAAGAACGTTGGAACGTTGGCTGCTGAAGCAGCCTGTTAACCCCCCCTCGAAGCACATACTTTTTATTACGCTCGATTTTCTCGGTAGACCTTTCTCCGAGTTTTCTCGGGGCGTTGATTCCGGATTTCCGAGAAAATTTGAAATAATTGAGAATGATATGGATCCAATACGCGGATCGAAATACAAAAAGTTTGTTTTGTATTAAAATCATGACTGAAAAAGGAATGTCGAGAAAGCCGCCGATTATTTTTTAGCCGCCGAAGCGTTTTTAGTAATAGAAATAATTGATTGAATCAGAAATGTCATTAAGCGCAAAACGTAACCTTTTAGAGAAAAATTTTAACGAGGACGTTTAAAACGACATAATCTCTGAAAATTTTGGCATTCCTAAATTTTTGCGTGCAGTTGTTTTCAATAATTTTAGGACACGCTTTAAGAAAAAAAGAACTTCTTTTAAGCTTCCAGAATTTCTAACTTTTCCGATCTTCCATTTACTAACAAGAATTTATCAACTTTTTCATTTACGCTCTTAAGTTTTTAAAGATGCCAGAAAAATGATTCAAAAAAATCAAAAATCCGGGAATAAGGAGACGGGATGCTTGGCGTTAAAGGGTTAAGACATAGTTCCGGTGATGCTCCCGTAAAAGTGGGCGAGGCATTGCCCTCCCGTGAACTTTGGCAGATGTAGGTATCCCAGCCAGCCGAATCCTGAAAGGAGGCGAGAGTGACCCGTTTTGCGTCTCGCTCCTCGGGGTTTGTACTCTTTGCGCCTCGTGATTCTCCTGCTCACTCCTCCTCTCGACCCTGGCGAGACGAGCACATCCGAAGCCGTGCCGAGGTTCCACGACGTGGTGCAAAAGGGAGGACTACCCCGTGTTTGCGAGTGCACGCGCGCGCCGCGCGCGCGCGGGTGCGCACATCCACATGCGCTTGCCAGCGTGTTTGCATACGTGTATATATATATATATATAT